TACCGCTCATCTATCGGATCATCATCTTTGATCTTGGCAAATATTATGCCATATAAATACTAAAGCTTATATAAATATGTAAGAGTGTTGTATGCCACAATCAGTGAGGTTATTTATACCTCACTGATGTGTTTCCAGCTATACTATCACTGATATTATCCAGCTATATAAGTCCAATACTTTAGTCCTGATGTGTTTCCAGCACATAAGATGGTTGAGTTACAAAAAGAAAAGTACAAAATCATCAAAATAAAGTTACTAAAATATCAAAGTGCTCCCCAATTTTTTTAACCTTTCCGATAATTTTATTGGTGTCAACCGAACATTTTTTTAATTTTATTAGTGTCAAATATGACAATTTTTTGTTTTTTTTTATCTTGAGAGTCTTGAAATTTACTATTTTATTTGTTATCGTTTATTAATTATTTATATATATATATATATATATATATATATATATATATATATATATATATATATATGTATATATATATATATATATATATATATATATATATATATATATATATATATATATATATATATATATATATATGTATATATATATATATATATATATATATATATATATATATATATATATATATATATATATATATATATATATATATATATATATATATTATATATACCATAAAAATGCAATTAAAAAATGTAACAAATGTTTTTAAAAAAGATAAAAGATTATCTTCAAAATTTGCCATGAAAAGATTAGCAAGAACAGGTGCTAAGGGAGAACCCATAGCAACATCATCATTTTGGTCATAAATTTGTCCTTTGAAGAGAAAATAAGTTTGAGATGTTGCAAAATTGAAGAGTTTTTTAAAATCACTTTTACTAATTTTAAGATTAACTTTACTATTTTTAATGCTATTTATATTTATTATTGATAGCAATATCTATTGTTTCTTGTTGTGGAATATTGGTGTATAAACTTGTAATACCGTAAGATACTAAGAAATCTTTATGAAAGCTAGCTTGGTTTACTTCTTTAGAAAAAGTGAAATAATCTTTAGTGATGAATTCTGAAGATATTAATGGAGATAGTGGTTCTCTAAGAAAATTAGCTAATTGATAATTATAAGTACCAATGGATGATATATTTCAGAAGAAATCATCTTATGTAATTTTGAAGACCATAGATGCAGGCTGGACAAGAGCCTGAAGGATATATTTTATTATAGTTAGATACATTAAAGAAACCTTTTTTCTTGAGTTTCCTTAAAAAGTTTAGAAGTTGTGTTTCTCTGGTGATAGTGACATTTTTTTTAAGTTTTTTTAATTTGGATGGATCATTAATGATTTTGTAGAGACTCTACTCTTTTTTTTTGCAATTATAGTTTGCTTACAATAAAAGCAATATTTTTCCATATTTTTTAAGTTTTTATTTATACTTGTTGCTTACACTACCATAAAAATTGAATTATAATATTTGTCAAAACGAAGTTGAATAAAGACAATTTCCTGGTGACAAATATTTATAACTGGTTTATGACAGATGATAAGACTTTTATGAAAGTCTTGTCAACCATCAAAATGTAGCCATTTAATTTTGTCAAAACTTGGGTGCAATGTTTTCATGCTCGTATTTTGATGGCAGAATTTGTTTGTCAAACCTATTTGAGTATTTAATCAGAAAGACTTGTAATTGTAGTATTTTTTCACTTTCCTTACCGAAAAATCAGAAACTTTGTACTTTGCTCTTTCTCTATTTTTTTAGCAGACAAGCCATTTCTTTGAAAAGAACAATAAATCTTATTTACCACTGATTATTTGTTAAAAACTTTTTTCACTTTATAATTGATATTATTACTCGTTTATAATTATTTTTGTGTGTGTGTGTGTGTGTTAGTAAATTATTTTGAAATTGGTTTCTATTTCTCTTTTTTTTTTCTTTTTTTTTTTGATCTTATGCTTAGTAATTATTAATTATTGTTGTTTTATATAGTATATTTGTGGCATTTTTTTTGCTACTCATATTATTTTTATTTAGGTTATTGAGCTTCCTGTTAAACACCCTGAATTGTTTGAAGCACTTGGAATAGCTCAACCTAAGGTTTATTTAACTATTTGTATTTATCTTTACTTGTTTATTATTTGTTGTTATTTTTATCTTGTTACATTTTTTTAAATTGTGTGTAATTACCATTGTTATTAAAATTTTTGAATTAAATAGTTTCACTGTATTTCTTTTAAATTTATTTCTATATATTTTTAAATTATGAGTCAGTTAATAATTTTTCAATTCAACATTTGTTTCAATATCTGCAATTTAACTTTTACCTTTTTAATTTCTACTTTCATAATCTGTTTCAACACCTGCAGACTTTTAATATCAATTTGAACATCTGCAATATGAGTTTTAAGGTTTAGAATTTGCTAGATGCAAATAATTTAATACCTAGACTCACTATGGTTTTCTTTACAAAATATTCTCAACCTTGTAGATGTTTTAAAATTGGCATTTTTATTGTTACATATTTTATCATTTAATTTTTATTGTGTAATTTAGCATTTTGAAGTGATTTTTAAAATAAATTTTTAAATACTTTTATTTTCATTTTTTTCAATTTTTATTGATTTTACTGAACATTATGTGGTGTTTCCTGAAGCTGTTTTTGACTGTCTTTTTGAAATTTGTTGTCTTAAAAATTGCTGTTTATTTTTTTAAATTTAAGTAAAGAAAATCAGTAGTTTTTGAGTATATCCATTTTGTATTATTTACATCTAAATCAATATAAAAAAGGGGAAGTTCTTTTTATAAAAAAAAAAAGGGGGAAGTCCTGTTTATAAAAAAAAAAAGAAGTTCTGTTTATGAATTTGTGCTAAAAATTTACTAAAAGCATTTGATAAAGTTGAACAGAATATTCACTAAAATTATTTGTTTTGTTTTTTTAATTTAAAAATAAATTGTTAAAGAATTAATTAGATTTTATTCTGTTGAAATATGAGTTATTATGTTGCAATATGAGGTATTATGATTATCAAGGGGAACAGTATACTTTTTATTATTATCTAATTTGGTTCAAATGAGCACACGATTAGAACTGTATTTATATTATTTTTTTAAAAATTAAGTTTGTCATTTACAAAATAGTGTACTAAGTCTAGTTGGTAAATTATTATTATGGCATTTGTTTTGCTTTTCTTTAGGGAGTTTTGTTATATGGTCCTCCTGGAACAGGAAAAACATTGTTAGCCCGAGCTGTTGCTCACCATACTGAATGTACTTTTATAAGAGTTTCTGGTTCAGAATTAGTGCAAAAATTTATAGGTGAAGGCTCAAGAATGGTTAGAGAACTCTTCGTTCTGGCCAGGTAATACGAGAAAATTTCCAATTTTATTTTTATATTAGTTTTGTGTCTTAAGATAAAAATGCTTTTTTTTTATTGTTTTAGAGAACATGCACCCTCCATCATTTTTATGGATGAAATTGATTCGATAGGATCTTCTCGTATTGAGTCTGGTGGATCAGGTGGAGGTAATTTATTTTTACTGGTTAAAAGGATCAAAAGTCCACGCATTTACAGGCCTTGCGATGAATAAGAACTGCGCGACGCATAAGCACGACGCGATTTTTGACGTCATTAAATTCTTTTTATTTGCTTTTCATATTTATCGACATTAACTGCACCAATTTATTTAATTACCGCAAAACTACTTTAAATCGTTTATGTAGAAATGTTATTATTTAAAAATGTTTTGGAATGTTTCGTTTTTTAAAATGTAAAAACATTTGTTTATTTTCTCGACGTTTGTCACGTTTTGTCTATACTAAACGAATAAAAAACATTATAACTTAAATTTAAAAAAGATTATAAAATATGCTAATATTTGATTTTTTTTTTCTTAAATATGTAATTTAAAGTTTTTCAAATAATTATTTTTTCTTTTTAAAAAGTCAGCGAGTAATAAACTGGAAATTTTAATATTGTACGATTAAAAAACTGTGCAATAGCTAATATTTTTACAAGCGATTTTATATAATATTTATTTATTTTTATTTATTTTTCATAAAGCGGTTGATAAGCACAATCACTCGTATTAATAAAAAACTTAAACGAACGTTTTGAATAGATTTTTAATGTTAACAAGGAATTTTATTTCTATTAAAATAAAATAAAATGTTAGAATAAAAATCTTATAGGTATAAAAGAAATATTTCAGCGAAAAAATTATTCTTAAAAATTATTCGAAAAACTATTGACGTTCTATTTTTCAGCAGCTGTTCTTGAGCACGCTTCGATGAGTTTCGGTAACTTTTAACATAAAAGCGATCGTTATTATTTAAGTAATTTTTTTGAGTTACTTTTTACAAAAATTTTAATAACTGTACTTTTTTATTGAATCAAGTAGAATACCTTTTGATATTAATCTTTTTTTTTTTATTTGCCCTCACCAATTTTTAAAATGTTTCCTCGAAATCACTCTTAAATACTTTAAATACGTCTAACAGTTAATAAATATTTTTAAATCTATGGAATAATTTTAAAACCTATCAAACCCCTGTAAAATAATTATTTAAGTTTAAAATCTAAAACTAAAAGAAAGTATTTTTGTTCAATTTTATCGACAACGTTGCTATTGCTGAATAATTTTATTAAAATGTTAGCTTAAAAGATTTAAACTTTTTTTTTAATTTTTGAATTTTTTCTACTTCCAAATAATGAGCATATTTAATTTTTTTAAATTCAAACTTTTATTTCAACTGCGTGCGGTTTTTAAAATACTTTATTAAATGTTAAAATAATCGTAAATTACTTCATTAAAATTCCGCTCAAAAATATCTTTAAATATACTCAAACAAAAAATTTTTTGCTCGACGCAAATAGCCCTAGCTACACGCAAAATTGCCCTTGGACGACGTAAAATTCACATCGCCCGACGCTTTATCGCAAGGCCTGCATTTAACATTTTATATCTGCATTTAACATTTTAACTTAAAAAATTTAATTTACACAGGCGATAGTGAAGTACAGCGTACTATGTTGGAATTACTTAATCAACTTGATGGTTTTGAACCAACTCAAAATATAAAAGTTATAATGGCCACAAATCGCATAGACATATTAGATGTTGCTTTACTGAGACCTGGTCGTATTGATAGAAAGATTGAATTTCCAGCACCTACTGAAGATGTGAGTCAAAATTATAATTGTAATGTATTTTCAATATTACTAGTTATTATTATGATTTACTATTTTATTATTATAATCATTTTATGATGGCACTTACAGGCACGGGCAGATATCTTACGTATTCATTCGCGTAAAATGAATTTAACTCGAGGAATTAATTTAAAGAAGATTGCTGAGACTATGCCTGGTGCCTCTGGCGCTGAAATTAAGGTAAATAATAAAATTCAATTTCTTTTTATCTTGGAATATTTACTTTAAAATTTTGGTTCAAAAAACCATAACTTTTTTCTTTTTTTAAACAGGGAGTTTGTACAGAGGCTGGAATGTATGCGCTCAGAGAAAGAAGAGTACATGTTACCCAAGAAGACTTTGAAATGGCTGTTGCTAAGGTAAAAACATAAATATTATTTAAATAAGAAAAAGTTGACATTTTCTTTTAATGCAACTTTTTTGTATTTTTGGATGTGAAGCATAAACAAACAAAAGATGTCAAATCTTTTAAAGTCTTTTTAAGGGTAGTTTTACCATGATCACACCAATTATTTTTTTTTAATTTATCAAAGTTTTTATATTGCTTACTGGGTCAAAATCATTAGCTGGACAAGAGTAATAAATTTTATGAACGTAAACATTTGAATGTCAGAGTATAAAAACTGTGCAAATACAGTTTAAAATCAGTCGTTAGGTTGTTTTTTTTTCTTCTTCCTATAACAACTTCACTTCCAAAAAGGCTGCAAGCAACCACTATTAGAGTTAGAAGTTACTGGAAGAGAAAAAATGGAATTTATAGAGCAAGATAACAATTGACAGACGATTTAAAAGATTGCAAACTGTATGAATTAGGAAAGCAAGATGAAGGAAGCGAGTTCAAAGAATTAATGTTCGAGGAAAAAAACTAGACAAATAAGAATTATTGGAACACTTTGAAACAGTCAAAGTAAATGGATGAGACTTAACTGAATAATGAATAACACAAGAATAAATTTTAGTTGATGGCACAAGAGACGCTAGCTCTTTAGAGCAGTGCCCATTATAGTATTTGTAAAAAAGATATAATAATGGTTGGAGGTTGGCTGCAAGAGCAGGTCAAACTATGTTTACAATGCGTTTTTGGTCCTTGTCTAAATGAGAAAGGCCATTATTGGAAAATCTTCCACAGATACGGCAACAGTATTTCATACAAGGTCAGATTTTTAGGTTTATAGAGATAAAGAAAAGAATCCGGAATAAGAAAGTGGCAAGTACGATAAAGAGATGCAACCTTAGCAGATGCTAGTTTTGCAATCAATTTGATATATGGTTTCCAAGAGAGATTTGAGGTAAAAGTTAATCTTAAAGGATGAAGGGTAGATGACTCATCATGTACATTACCATTCATAAATATTAGAAGGTCTAAATTAAATATAGGAAGATCTAGATTATTGTGATAATGATTAGCTGAAAAACATTGAGAGAAACCTGAATTAAAGTTTATCAGCCACTGAGAGCCCCATGCTGTAGCAGAAGTGAGAACCTTTTCAAGCTCAAATGCCCCTCCAAGAATCAGAAAGTGTTGGCTTAATATTAAGACAAGAATAAATGGTAGTATAATCAGTGAAGTGTAAGGCCAAGGATAGAACCTTGAGGAACCCCTGAAGTTACAGGAAATGAAGAAGAGTGTTGTCGATTGAGGACAAATTTTATACTATGATTGGTAAAAAAAGGATTAACCCTCGCAATTAGGAAAAATGAGGTTGGCAATTATTTGCTGACCTCAATCTTTCAGAAGTCGACACCAGGTCTGCAAATGAAATTTAAAACAAAGGTATTACCATAAAATGTAGAAACAAATTTGTCAAATGCATATTTGACAAATTTTTTTCTATATTTTATGATATAAAAAACAAGTCTATGTCAAATGCATATTTGTAGCTGGAACCAAACATCATATTTGTAACTGAACACAAGATAAGACACAAATCAAGGAGTGAAGTAATTATAATGTTTCTTTTTTTTTTTTGCATTTTTGAATCTGCGATTGAGAAATACAGAATTTAGTGATGTTTGAGTCAAGCCATTTCGCTTTGAGCATTAAAGTTAACAATAACAACAATACTGGCAGAGAAATAGAAAGAAAAAGAGCTAAGTCAATTCGATCAGAAATCCAAGTAATAAATAAAAACTGCAGTCTTGAGATGGAGTAGAATAATGCACAAGAAAGAAAAAGGTGATTGAGTGAACAGAAGGAGTAGAAGAATACACAACAAAGAGAAAGGTGATTGAGTGAACAGAAATGGAAGCAAAAGAATAGTCAGAGGATATAAACCTGACTTCTTGACAAGTAGGTGAGTTATTATATACGCCCAAGTTAAGCATATGGCAATTGGAGTATTTGCAAATTAAAAGATAATAGCCATTAGGCTGCGTCCAACGCCCCATACAATCAAAAATTGATTTGTCCTTATTCTTAAAATTTTCTATTGGTTCTCACAAGATACTCTGTTAAATTTTTTTCAAAATTAAATGAGATTTAGGGGGACCACCTCAAGTCTGAAACTTGCAACAAGACCCTTAACAGAAGAAAAAAAAGTTTTTTAAATTCAAGTTGGGTCTCAAAAAAAGCAAAACTTTATAAAAATTTCAAAAAGGTACACTAGAATTATTATTTTAAGTTTTATTGCATAAAAATTATTATTATTTTTTTTTTTAAATTAAAAAAAAAAACATTTTTTCATGGTTTTTGTCTAAATTTTTTAAAGGTATTTTTAACAAAAAATGATAATTATTTTTGAAATTTTTATAAAGTTTCGCTTTCTATGAGACCCAACATGACATACATTTGAAAAACTTTTTTCTGTTTAGGGTCTCTTTGTAAGTTTCAGATTTGAGGTGGCCCCCCTAAATCTCATTTAATTTTGAAAAAAAATTTAACAGTGTCTTGTGAGAACCAATAGAAAGTTTTAAGAATAGGGACAAATAAATTTTTGAAAGTATGGGGCGTTTGATGCACCCTAATATTACTAAGATCTAATATTACTAAGATCTGAAAAGAAACAGCTAAAGTAGACTTTTTTTTAGTAAGATTTAACTGATGGAAAGTTACTTCACAGACAACAAATATTTGTAAACGATATTAAAACAGTGATGGTTTTTTATGTTTACTATTTTAAGGTACTTAGGTCATAGTTTAAGTTAAAGAGAACTTAATTCAGATAGAACATATAAGTTAAAGAGAACTCAATTAAAACAGTTAAGTTATAGAGAATTCAGTTCAGATAAAACATATAATCCTAAGAAATTGATATTCAGTTGCTTCGGTCCTGCTAATTTACCTAAAGTCATATTTTAGGGCTACTTATGTGGCCTCAACAATGCACACCGAAAGCACTAACAGGGATACCATCTATGCGCAACATGGCACTGTTAATACTCTGATACTTTACATCTGTTGATGGAGTGAGCCTCTCTAAGACCTACTACAGAGCCTCAAGGCAGGGGAATTTTAAGTCAGGGGTTATTTATGCCACAGGATATGGGGCAGGTAGTACTAGGTTACATATTACCAGTGCCATGGTAATCTTGATGATCCTGAATCTGACCTGGTTTTGGTTGGAGTTAAAGTAGGTTAATATTTTTTTGTATGCAATACTTTAAATCATTAAACTGGAGATTTTTGAAATGCATTAGGAAGAACTTTACATCTAAAAGAATACTAGAAATTAAAGTGAAAATATTTTATATAATTGTAGTCACTAGTTGGTATTTGAGCTAACACTTCACCAGAAATTCAAGCAGAACACAAACATAAATATATTAACTTACAGAATCATGTTCGATGGATCTTGTTGATCCATCAAACCAAACTTAAATGTAATGTTAGTCTTTGAAGATCATTCAAGGAGTCAATAACTTGCTCCTGCAACTGTGTTAGGCAAATTATTATTTGATTTAATAATGCTTGAATGTCACTTTTTGCAGAAAAATCAGTAACAGTCCATAATGTTTGTTCTTGTAGACTATTTTAGCAGCATAAACATGTTGTATGCAGGGTTACAACCTTTGCTAACAACATCATTTCTCAACATTATTTTCTCTAAGTCGATGATTGCTGCTTAACAGTTCTTTGTTTTATTGGATGAATCCTCAAATGATTTTGCATTGAAACTAGTTTAAGTCTTTTTCAAGCCATTCTGAATTAGTTTGTTTAAAGTTCAAATCGATTCTTTTACATAAAGATCAATATATTTTGACAAAAAATAGTTGAACTTTAAACTCAGGGTTTTTTTTTTTTTTTTTTTTTTTTTGTCTATTAAAAGTGTTTTGTGTGAAACACAAAACACTTTTAATAGACATTGAAAATTCTTTTACTCAATGATTATGAGGTAATTAAAAAGTCATATTTATGAAATCATTAAAGAATATGACAGCATTAGAACCGCAATTAAACGTTTAATGAATAACAGGAACAACTCACAATTCTTTTAAAATTAAACGTCTCGATTAAATATTGTTTAAAAATATTGAACAATATTGTTAAATACCTTTATCTCTGGCTTATAGTTTAATAGGCAATATAGTTTAAATTTACTTAATTTTAGTTTTTGAATTTCTGATTCTTTTGTTGTAGGTTATGCAAAAAGATTCCGAAAAGAATATGTCGGTTAAGAAGTTATGGAAATAGATGACATTCGTGGAAGAAAAAAACTGCATAGTGTTGCGAGTTCGCAAAAATATTTTAAGTTAATTGTTGAGTGTTTTAATTTATAATCTATTCTTAAAACTTATCTTGGCATTTCTTTTCCAAAACGAAAAGCCTCTGGTGAATTTCCATTTTCCAAGCGAGGTCAAGTTTGCTGCGAAATTTAGTTTGTTAAAATATATATATATATATATATATATATATATATATATATATATATATATATATATATATATATATATATATATATATATATATACATATATATATATAATATATATATATATATATATATATATATATATATATATATATATATATATATATATATATATATATATATATATATATATATATATATATATATATATATATATATATATATATATATATAATGGTTAGAGCATTAGCTTTAGAAGCAAGAGACCCAGTGTTCAATACATATTTGCGTCATCGGTAAGAACGGTTTTTTTTCTAGTAAGATGCTCTTTCGCGGCGTTCCGTTAGGTCTTCTTGGGTCACTTGAAACAAAAATATATATAATAATAATTATCTATATCCGAGTATTATTTGAAGAATTATCATCAAGATAAATATATAGTTGTCTAAAAATTTTATAACAGTATCTCTTTATAGAGATATCGGGCATATTTGGTAGAAAACGTTTTTTTGAAAATAAATAAATCTTTTTTTGTTAGTTTGTTAACTTATTAAATTTGAACCAACTAGAAATGTGATCGAGTCTATTATTTGCAGTTGAAGAAAGTTCGTAAATATCATGAGATAAAATTAATTTGATTAAAAAGATTAATTTGCAAATATTAAACCCCTCAGTTTAGAGGGTTTGTTTAATTCATTTACATGGATTAATAACATGGAATAATTAGTAATTGTTCGAGAATAGAACATTGTGAACACACAATGTTCTATTCTCGGTCGATTGAACTTATGGAATAAATTCCATAAATACAGCCTGTGGCTGTATTTATGGAATTTATTTGTGGAACACTACAAGTTGTATTATGTAGCGTTTACATTGACTACTATCGTTACTATCCACTATCCACAAGTTGTTTACATTTGATCTATAACTTTTAAGTCAATAAAAACGCCTAATGTGTATTGAGATTTTTCATACTGAAATGTCACGTACAAATTAAATAATGGCATGTTTAGGTGAACTACTTTTTCTGAAATTATATTGATTGTTGATTTTAGTAAGTTATTGTAAATAAAGTGTGTTGTATATTCTGTTGAACATAGTTCTTTCTAAAATTTTCTAAAATAATTCTTTTATGTTTAAATATTTTAGTAAATATTATGTCTTTTTTTTAATAATGTGATTTTTATAATAAAAAAGGTCGACCTTTCACAATTTTATTTGAGCGCTTTTGTAAATTCTGTTTACCAACGTCATTCCATCAATAATGATTACTCTCTGGGTATTGCTCAAACCAGAAGGATTTTGACCCAAACCTTTTACACCGCCAGTTACTTTCATCACTTTGTTTTCTTACTCCAATGCGTGATCAGAACCAATGCTTATGAATAGTATTTCACTTTTACTGATTGCAAAATTTTTTTTAGATAATTCCAAGATTGTAAATCATTGGACTCAAGTTCAATCATTGTTGCCAAATACTATTGAGTAAGTCGAGCATAATTTATCTTGTCGAATGTCGAAAAATTATTTACCATACTGTCAAGTGAAGCAAGATGTAATGATCAGTTTTTTTCACGAGATGAACGAACAAAGAGTAGCAAAGCTTCATACATGTAGTTACACAGAAATAGTGGTTTTGCGATTTACGCAAGAATAGTAACTTTTATCGAATTCATCGAAAATAGTAAAAACTCTGTAATCTTTGATACCTAAAACACAATTTTCAGAATTACTTTCAAATTTCACTCGGTATCAGTTATAGCAAAAACAAGTTTCCAATTTCATTTATAAGTTGCGGATGTTGCTGCAATTTCTAAATATTCATATGCACTTCCATGCGATGTATGTACTTTTCATCAACAATTTGACGCATTGTTGTATGTCCGTATATACCTGCCTCTGTAACGACCGCGTCAAGTCCACTACCTTCTTTATATTTCCCTATTACTTTTAAAAGGCAAATACAAAATGGAGTTCACCAAGTCTGAAGATGAATTGAACAATTGCAAATTTGTCTAACGTTGTGCCATTATTATTGGTAACGATTCTCAAAATAAAATTAAAACAAAATGTCTAAATTTACAAAATAAAAAAGTTGCAGCAAGACTTGACTGACCTTTTTCTTAGTATCATCTTTCTAACAAATTCATTAAAAAACGAAAAAATCATTCGCTTTTTGAGAAAAGTAGCGTAAAACATTATTCGTAATAAAAAAACATGCCAATGAAACAACTTAAATTCCCGTAGAACGAACTTTCATTCGTTTTATATATTTTATATTATTTTATATCGTTTTATATATCTTAAAAATGGTATATCTTGGGGAGGAACAAGCAAAAAGTTGCTTCTAACACGCATGTGCACACAAAAATCCTAATCTTAACATTGCAACCCTAATCACTATCTAATCACGTCTAAATTAAAGGACGTTTTTTAACTTTTAAATTTAAAACTTTTAAATAAATCAATTTTAAGGAAACCGACTAAGCAAAACCCAAAAGATGTTCAAAAAGAGACTGAAATGTCTCATAAATTCTGTGTTAAAGTCTTAAATTTTGTATAAACAAAAAAAAAAAAGAATTTTTTTAAAAACACAAAGAAGTTTTTTTAAAAACACAAAGAATTAGTTATATTAAAAAAAAAAATTCTTTATTTCACCCCATTTAATATTTAAGTTATAGATAGTCAAAGATAAGATTTTTCTAAAAAAATTTGATTTAATAATTCGCCTTATGAGTAGTTTGAATCTCAATACCGTCGATTAGAGTTGACAGTAGAGTTCCCAGTAGATGAAATGACTTTGGTAGATAATGCTGTTGTAATTTTGTGTTTTTGTTTAATTACTCAGCTTCCTCCAGTTGATCTTTGATGACGGAGTAAAAAATACCGATCTCCAGCTAATCAATAATTTATGCATCTAAATAATTTATGCATCTAAATAATTTATGCATCTAAATAATTTATGCATCTAAATAGAGCGCAAGAGAAACACAAAAAGTGAACTTGTTGTTGTGCTCCAGACGAGAAAATTCTTTTTCATAGTTTCAATATTGTCCACAATAAGATAAAGCATATTTTTTTGAATAACTTTTTTCATGTTCTTTTGAGGAAAAATATATCAGTTAGAGGGGAATGGTCTTTCTAAACAATCTCAACCCGTCCACATCGCCATAAAAGACATTAAAATATTGTATTTAACTTTGCTAGAATGTAAGACGATTTTTTTTTTTAATAAATTTGTATTTTCTTTTTTTGTTTATTTGATTTGGAAATAAAAAAAAACTAAAGAAAAATTTGGAAACTAAAGGAAAAATTGGAAAGGGTAGATACAAAATTCACTATTCTTTCTTAACATGAACTGTTGTCTCATCAACTTCACATAGCACTCTTTTTACTATTAAGAGTGCATCTTTTGGTAGCAACTATTGCAACGACTGCATTTTTACTAAATACTACTTCAATTTCTAGCGGTTTTACAGTACTTTTTTCTCTAAAACTTGTTTTTTAAAACCAAACTTGGTTTACTGTTTCTTTTTTTTTTTTTTTTTTAACTTTTGCAAAACGTACGCATTGGAAAATATATTTGAAGGCCTATAATTAAATCTATATTTAAATTAAGAGATACAAGTGAAATAGGTAATTTTAAACCAATATCAATACTTTCAACATTATCTAAGATACTTGAGAGAATTATGCACAATAGATTATATACTTTTTACAAATTACTAATATTTTATACAAAATATTATTATCAAAGCTTAATATGTATGGCAATATGTAAGGGGTATATCTAACTATATAGATAGAAAACCATTTAGATAAACATGTTCAATATGTATATTATGGAGACAACAAACTGTGTAAGTGTACCTCAAGGATCTATACTTGAACTTTTGCGTTTTTTAATTTATGTAAACAATCTCTGTATGGCATCGAAATTTAATTATAATGTTTGCTGACGATAGCAACTTTTTTACCTCTGGAAAAGTTATTGGCAAACTGTGCGTAGAAATGAACAATGAACTAAAAACAATTTCAGATCAATTTAGGGCAAACAAACTCTCCATTAACTCAAGTAAAACGAAGTTTTCTTTATTTCATCGTTTCTCCAAAAAAAAAAGAAATTCAATCAAAATTCTTTATTGAAAATAGAGAAATAAGAATGGATTCTGTTACAAATTTTTTGGATGTTTTTATTGACAAAAATCTAAATTGGAATAAATATATCGCTTATTTAGCTAATAAAATATCCAAAAGCATAATAATAATATACCAGTCACGTTACTTACTAAAAAAACCATTACTCAAACAAACCTACTATAGTTTTGTTTAAAGTTACCTAAACAACCGTAATGTAGGATGGTGTAGTACCTATAAACAAAACTAGAACACCTCTTTCGTAAACAAAAGCATTCTATATGTGTGATTAATTTAAAAATAAAACAGAACACTAAAAACCTCTTTTTGAACAAATGTCTTTATTAACATTGTTTGAACTAAATGTATATAATGTTTCAATTCTTGTGCATAATAGAAAAATGCAAAAAAGTCCTTCAATTTTCTATAGTCTTTATAAACAAAAAACCCACCGGTGGGTTTAAACCTGAAAAGGCGGGGAGCAGTTTTAAAAGTACTGATATATTTCCACTCGATCGTTCACAAATTTCTTCTAAAAAAACTTCCATCTGTGCCGTGTTTCAAGCTGTTGAAAACAACAATATTGAAAACTTATTTGATTCTTTAACAGTATCTAGTCTATTAGTTTTAAGAAATGATACAAATATAATTAACACACCGTCAAGAATGTCAAGTCGTGAATTTTTGCTTAAAAGCTTTGCTATTTTAAATAATGCCTTTCAACAAGTGGAAAAAGATGTAAACAAATCAGTATTAAATATGCTTCAAGATCAATTGACAATAAC